ATTTTTGACGCACGTTCTTAGGTCGACCCCCTTTGATGACGTCAGCAGCCATTCCCCGCACTTTTGCTTGTGACTGATGGCGCGAAGGTGTCTGAGTGTCCGAAGTTTTGACGCACGTTCTTAGGTCGACCCCCTTTGATGACGTCAGCAGCCACTCCCTGCACTTTTTCGTTTGTGACTGATGGTGCGACGGTGTCCAAGCGTCCGAGTTTTTTAGGAGCGTTTTGAGGTCGACCCCCTTGGATGACGTCAGCAGCCATTCTATGCACTTTCGTCTGTGATTGATGGCGCGAACGTGTCTGAGTGTCCGAGCTTTCGATGATCCTTTTGAGGTGGACCCTCTTTGATAACGTCAGCAGCCATTCCCTGCACTTTTCCTCTGTGATTGATGGCGCGAACGTGTCCAAGTGTCCGAATTTTTCATGATCCTTTTGAGGTGGACCCCCTTTGATGACGTCAGCAGCCATTCCCTGCAATTTTCACTTGTAATTGATGGCGCGAACGTGTCCAAGTGTCCAAGTTTTTGATGAGAATTTTCATGTCGACCCCTCTGGTGACGTCAGCAGTAGTTCCACCAATAATCCACTGTGATTGGCGGCGCAAGGGTGTCCGAGTGTCCTAGTTTCCTGCTCGCCTTTCCCGTCGTTGCTTCGGGATGACGTCACCAACCATCCCCGACCAATTATCTGCTGCAACAAATTATCACGCTCTTTTTGTCCTGACTGATGGAAACTAAGTTATTCATCATGAATTCTTTAAAACAGAAGGCTACTCAAGTCTTGAATTCGTCGAGAAGACTCACGTGCTTTTCGACCCGTTTCTCGTGCAGGGAATGGCAAAGGGGTCTGCAAGCAGATGCTCGAGACCACGCTGGGCAAATACTACGGCGGCATGTCCAAGGACGCCGTGGTCAAGGCCCCCGGACAACGCCCGCCGTCCAAGGGCGCTGCCACGGGCTACCTCGCCGAGCTCCTGGGGAAAAGGGTGGCCGTAACGGACGAGACGAGTCCGGGGGAGCGCGTGGACCTTGGGCTCGTGCTAATGATGACCGGCGGGGGCAAGGTCACATCCCGGCTCCTCTACCAGAACAACGCCTCGTTCCGGTTCACCCACACGCCCTTCATCCAGACCAACTACGACCCCGAGATCCCCCCAACCCTGGCGAAGCAGCCCAACATCGAACGGCGCCTCATCGTGGTCCGCTTCCCAAACGAGTACGTGTCGGAAAACAAGTTCGACGAGACCAACCCCAGCCACAGGCACGTGGACGTTGGGCTGAAGGACCGGATGGAGACTCCAGCGGTCCGCGAAGAGTTCCTCACGTTTTTGGTCCAGGGCAGCCGGGCTTGGTACGAGGACCCCACGGTCTTGCGTCGGCACCCGCCGGCCGTCCAGGCGGCCGCGACGGCGTGGCTGCGCCGCGGAGACAAGCTGCAGACCTTCTTGCAGTCGGAGCACTGCGCGCACGACCTGGCGGACACGCCCGACAGCGCCAAGACCATCACCTGGGAGGACGAGTTCTGGATGCGGTTCCAGCAGTTTGTGGCAGGGGTCAAGATCGCCAAGGAGGAGTTGGCGAGGCAGATGCGAGAGAAGGGCTTTGTGAGAACGAAGCGGGTTGGGCGTTTTGACGGGTCGTCCCAGCGGAGCTCCTGCTACGTAGGCTTCAAGTGCGAGTAGGATTGATATCTATTGGCCCGACGAGTCACTTGCTCGTTAATTAGACTTGGTTTGTTGGGTGAGGTTACAAAGTGGTCGGTCTTTGCCCCCTTCTGAAGAGCGCATAGATACTTCATCTTGTAACTTTATTGTTCTGCCTGATATTGTTAATGATGGTACAAGTCGGACCAATGTAATAGATTGACTTGAAGTGTACGAATCATCCACACTCATCCATGCTCGCAGTCCACGAATTAGAATGGTTTGGAGATGGCTTATAAACCTCATGAAGCTCGCAGTGCCAATCACTCAATCGACGAGATACTAAATGCATGTCAACGCGTGCTCAAATATGATAGATCATGATTGGGGCAAATGTCGAATGCCGGAATTGATGGCATGTAACTTGAAGTGTCCGAGTGTCCAAGCGTCCGAGCTTCTTAATCGAGTTTTCCGTGGTCAAGCGGGGATGACGTCAGCATTCGTACCACGTACCAAGTGACATCCGCGCAATGATGAAGGCATACCCTAATGTTCAACTCCGCGCAGCATAAGAGATGGGTAGAATGGCTGCTGACGTCATCCCAGCCCCGTCAGAGGATATTAGATTCAAAAGCTCGGACGCTCGGACGCTCGGACGCTCGGACACTTGTGTACGCCATCAATTACAGCAGAATTCTGGGCGGTTGAATGGCTGCTGACGTCATCCCAGCCCAGTTAGAGGATACTAAATGTAAAAGCTCGGACGCTCGGACGCTTGTGCAAAGAAGAATTCTGGGCGGAATGGCTGCTGACGTCATCGAGCGGGTTCGAGCTCAGAAGGTGCATCAAAAACTCGGACACTCGGACACGTTCGCCCTATCAACTACAGCGAAATTGTTGTCGGAATGCTTGCTGACGTCATTGAGAGGCTCCATGTCAAAAAGGTGCGTCAAAAATTCGGACACTCGGACACCTTCGCGCCATCAATCACAGTGGATTCTTGGTGGAATGGCTGCTGACGTCATGAAGAAGGTCCCACCTCGAAAGGTACGTCAAAACTCGGACACTCGGACGCTTACAGTGCACGCCATTGATTGCAGCGGGAAAGTGGCCGGGATGGCCCATTTCCAATGGAGTGATTTAAGTCCAGATATGAATGATTGATCGGTGCTATAGTACCCCAAGTGTTCATGGACTTAAGGAATCGTGGATTGCCATTTCATGATCATTCGGGTTCATCATGGCAGTTCCTAGCGTATCACCCGCCACACCCATGACGTCTTCAGCTTCTCCACAACTTTGGAAGGGAGATGGTGGTTGCTTCGTTTGCCTCGAGCGGCATGCAAACGAGTCGCAAAGCTGCGGCAAGAGCTTTGTATCAAAGCAAGCTTTGGAAGGCCACCGCAAGCGAACGGGGTGTGAGCCATGGAAGCTGCCAAGCGACCGCGCACCCTCCAAGTATCGCGGCATGGGGCCGGAAGCTGCTCGTCAATTGAAGCCGGTTAGCGACAGAGCGGCCGTGTCAAAGTACCGAACGACGCTTGAGGGGGAGCGGGCCGTCCACCGCGCGCGGCACATAGCCAAATACCGCCTCATGGCTTGCAGCGCCGTGCCCTCTCCCCCGATGCCCAAAGTACCCGCTTACGTGCGGCCACCCATCTCGTGGCTCCTTGCAGATGCTGAGGTGTTCCCGTGGGAGCTCAAGGAGAAGTTCGACAGGGGCGAGATCGTGCTCAGCCACGCGACGTGGTCCCTGCGATTTCATCCAGACAAGGTCCAGGTAGGGACTCAACCCGTTCGCCAGTGCAGCTTCGACTTCCATTTTGGGTCACCTGTGGTTAGGCTGCACCTGGCGGGCTAACGGATGGCCTGGGGGCCATAGGTACGCAGTGATAACTTTTGGGTATCTCTGCCTGTTTCTCGTACTTGATTTTGTCCATAGGTATGCAGTGATAACTTTTGGGTATCTCTGCCTGTTCTCGTCCTTCATTTTTTAAGTTGGTCTGGACCTAATCCTGCTGCTTGCCACAGGCACCCAGTGATAACTTTTGGGTATCTCTGTCCGCTTCTCATTTGATTGATGTATTCCGGCTTCGATTGTGTACTCAATTCGTGTACTTTCCTATTCAATCAAAGTACATAACCCAATAATCTAGTTGATGGTGTACATTCCTCTGAAGAAGCTCTGCGTTCATCAATTGGATACACCCCGCTTCTAATGTTCGGGGTCCTCATCACAAGCAATGTACATCAATTGATATTCGTGTACATCATCCCTGATTGACTGCGGCATCATTTCCGAGCAGAGGAGGAGTGGGGAACATCTGCGACGATTCGTTGAACACTTCACGGGCTCTGCTGACGGCTTAGACCCGGAGCAAGCGAAGGCGTGCTACGCTACGGAGCTATTCGCCCCACTCAACGACGAGCGTTTCAAGCTCGGTCAGAGCGCTCAAAAGGCTGGTGGTATGTTGTGGAGAGCGTGGTTGTCAGTCGAATGTGCACTCATCGACGACTACTCCGAATATCTGGTCGAGTTTGAGGATTACTTAGCAAAGGTAAAGCAAGCGACCGAAGGGGTAGAACGGGCACGCGAGAGGTGGATTCGTGAGAGGCTAGAGGAAAAGTTCAAAAAGTCAAAGGCATATAGGAGATATATGAACAATCGAAGTACCGAGCAGGAGTGATGAAGCGGCTATGTGCTATGGCACCTTGTGAATTTTCCTTGCGAACGATACCTCGAGCGTTTTCAATGGATGCAATCCTAGGTCACCGACCCCAGTCTCACTTTGCCATCATGTCCATGGATCGCTCTGTGCTCGAAAGCGCGCAATCATCAATCGTAAGAAGCTATCAACAGTTTGGATTGCTTGAAACCATTCTAGATACGGCGGCTCTTGGTGGCATGCGAGCTCTTACAGAGCCGTTCGACCTACGGCATATGACAAGAGCGCTCGTTCGGTCGCTCATCTCTGAGGGGTTCCACGCCTATTGGGATCGATCTGGCATTAACGGTCCGTACGCCGTCAAGGTGTCCTGGCGAACCGCTCTGAATAATGCAGCTCGAGCGCGACGTCGAGCGAGAAACTTGCGAATCTCAACGGCTCAGGCAAAGGAGCATGTTATGGCACTCGAGGTGTCTCCAAAAGATCGCACGACGCCAAAGGCGGTTTCCCCGCCGTCCTCATGTCGTGCACCAAGCGTTGTGTGGGATGACGAGCCGGTTTTGGATCTTGAAATGATTGCAAATCGGGAAAAGGCTCGAGTTGCTCCCGAAGTTTCTGAAATGATGTCGCCCAGATAACATGAATGTGCCGAAATTGCCCATTTTGCAATTTCTGTACGACTTCAGTCACAGTATCTGCGTTAGTATTATTTGTTAACAAAATGGAATGGCGATCTTGCTTTTTAGGCAGCTTCTACACGACCTCATAACCGTTTTCATTGTGAAAAGCTGCTACGAACCTCCGTTTGATCCATTTGATTTTGAACAGTGATATTCATATTTTCTGGGCCTCGCAACTTTGGGGTGGTCGAAATTTTCTCGACATTATCCAGATAACCAGAGAAGATGCAAGATCCGGCTCAAAGCACACGGCATATAACTAGTGTAACTCAGGGTGAACGGCTGCTACGGACAATATTCGATGATGGCAGCCGAAAAGAGCTCACGGTTCAGCAGTATACAAAGCATGTTACGCGTCTGTTCCAAGGTTTCAAGAGGCAACAAGACTTCAACAACTTGGAATGGATCAGGGATGCTGACGGGATCATCGAGTACTTTCAAGATACTTACCCCGAAAAGCTCTCCATGCAAGCCACTGGGATAACCCCTTTGCTCGTCGTGTGTAAAAAGCAATTCTCCAATGACAAAAGGCTCTATGAGCGGTACTATGAAAGGTACACAGCGGTGCGCAAGCTCATGGATGAGTTGAAGCCACCCCCACAGTACTTAACGGAGCGCGAAGCCTCGAATTGGAAGACTTTGGACCAGATCAATGAACGCCGGGTGGAGTTGCAGAGGCACGTGAACCGAAAGATCTTGCACAAAAAGCCGGAAGAGTTGACCATCGAGGACAAGATCGTACTCATTCGCCATCTCATTTTGTCTCTGTACACTTATAGCCCGGCTCTCCGGAACGATTTCTCAGAGTGCCCGATCATCCGCTTCGAGGACATCGGGTCCGCTGAGGCACGCGAGCTCATGTCCGGCTCCGGAAACTACATGTTGGAATACGAAAAGGGTCGGTTTCGGCTCGTTTTAAAGGACTTCAAAACGGTCAAACACCATCGCGAGACAAGCATCGACATGCCCCAGCGGTCCTGTAATGTGATTGCTGAAAGTCTCCAGGTGTTTCCACGGAAGTATCTCTTGTCACGCATGAGGTCACCGGATCAGCCAATGAGCCGGAATTACCTGACCAAGTTCTGCTCGACCGGGCTCTTTAAGGATGCGGCCGTTGGCAGTTGCCTCTTACGAAAGATATGTGTCTCGAACGCCATGAAGGATGCCCCGAGTTTGCGAGAACGAGATGAATTGGCACAGCAGATGCTGCACAGTGCCTCTATTGCTCAGCGAGTCTATGAAAAGCACTATATGCCGGACGGAAGCAGAATCAAATTCTGAGTATGATTGCTATTCACTCGATGTGCTCCCCAATCTGGCAGGCGCTTCAAGATACTTCAATGCTCGTGAATGCGTTCAAAGTGAGTGGCCGCACATCAGTCTCGTCCAATGTGTCACTGGAGAGTGCCGTTTGAGGCACCTTAAAGCCGGCGTTTGCCAATCGGATCAGAGTTTGCTTATGCAGCTTTTTTGTGTTGCCCGAGAGGAGTCTTTTGTACGCTTTTTGCATAAGGATGGTCTCCCGATTTCGGATATAGTGGTTTCTAACGTTCATTGCATGCTGTGCGTGGTGCGATTTTTGATATGAACGGCTTGTTTCGCACACGCGACAGTGACATGATGGATGGGTCTCAGTTTCAATCGAGAGACTCGTGTTTTGGACCTTAACGCCCTACAATTGAGCTTCGAAAGAAAGTCGTACGAGAACGCGGATGCCGAGGCAGCGCGTTTCAATCGCACCAGTTTTCTTCTTGACAAGGGTATAGACACCATGGCCACACTCGCAGCTGCTGGACCCAGCGCCTCAGGACCCCAGCCCACCGTGACTCGAGGGTCCAGAGCCCAGGGCCCCAAGAGCATCAGAGACGAGATCCTACGGCTTCGCGATGCTGGCCTGTTTGCGGTACCGGTACGCATGTTTTGGGATCACGGCAAGGATAAAAAGGATGATGAAGGGAGAATAGTCAGACCCGCAAGAGCCAAAAAAAGCTGCTCAGCATCCAAAGTGGGCGGAGATGACGACTCCAGAGACGTGGAAGACCGCTTTCAATCGCGTTATGGGCGAAGTTCCAGGCGCAAATGGGATTGCGATATTGACGGAGGCTAGCGGCATCATGGGTATTGATATTGATGTCACCGGCGATAACGAGAAGAATCCAGGAACTGAACTTTGGGATCGAATGGTCGCCCTCCATGGAGAACCGGACACACTGAAGGCTAAAAGCGGATCGGGTGGATTCCATTATTACTTCAAGGCGGACTCGCCGGGCCTCAAATGCACACAGAACTTCTCGACAATGAAGGTCGACGGCAAAAAGTTTGCGATGGATGGTCGTGGCATTGGAGGGCTCATGTACGCGCAGCCGTCAAGCTACATTGATGGTCAAGGTAACCTTAAGACGTACATGTGGCTCAACGGCCCGCCAAGCTACGACGCGTGCAAACTCATGCCTCCATGGTTGATAGAGTTGGTAAATAACAGTAGCGGCGAGCGTGCGGAGGCAAGTGGCACTAAAAGCAAAGGGGGTTCGATTAGGGCGTCTGTGGTGGAGCTTGACCGCACCGATCCCTCATTGGCAAGCCAATCGACTGGTGAGTCTCACGAAAGATCAGGGGCAGTTGAAGAGGTGAGGGAACTGCTGAAGAAAAAATCAAAAGACGATACAGCACACTACGGGGGTTTGACGCTGCTGCCAGAAGGTAACCGTTCCTTCCAATTTCGAGTTGGCGGCCCAAGAGTGTGCTATCTGGGTCGGGATCACAATGGTTCAAACAACTTTACCGTGATCCAAGGCTGCACTGGAAACTTTCGGCAGGTGTTCTATCATTGTTTTGGCACTGCTTGTCAAGGTGACGATATACGGCTCCTTGGAGAGTTGAGCATCTCGGCCGCTCTGGAGGGGGTTTCGGCGGACGAGTTTGGGATCCGAGACAAAAGAATTACCAGCGAGGGCAATCTGGAGGCACGATTGCCGGCGGCGTTCATGAGAGAGATGGTGTGCAGGAGCGATTTTGGGGCGGCATCGATCTTTGCCCGCTTGTTTCAGCACGATCGGCGGATTGTGTACGATGCAGGAAGCTTCTGGATATGGGACGGACGGTCATGGATTGCACACGAGACGGAAGCAACGGTTAAGAGCGCGTTCATGTGTCACATGGGCAAGGTGAAGGCCTTTTGGGTGAAGCGTATTGCGGGTGAGGGTCGTGAAAAGGTTCTCGAGGCAGAGCGCGCACGAGACGCCAGCTTGGCAAAGCTCCACGATGCAAAGCAAGATGCTCGATCAAGGAGGAGCGCCGAGACGGCCATCCAGAGGGCATTCAAGGCCTTGGAGAGGGACGCGGATCATCTCGCAAAGTGGTTGGGACCGGACGTCGAATCATTGCCAATCGCAACTCGATGTCTCACTCCACTGCAATCTATGTTGAAGCTTGATGGTTTTGCAAAGAAGCTGAACGCAAGTCGAGACCATCTGAACACTACGTCGGGCGCAATTCATCTACCAACAGGCAAGCTCACACCACATCATCCGAGCAACATGCTATCTCGAGAGACGGATACGGAGTACGTCGGGCCCGACTATCCGTCACCGTTGATCAATGAATTCATGCTGCAGATTCAAACTCCGAAGATCATCAAGGTTCTCCAGATGACGCTCGGCTATGGCATCACTGGACATTCGAGGGAGAAGCAATTCATCATATGGCACGGGCCCTCCAACTCGGCCAAGACGAAACTTCTTGACCTTGTAAGAGCTGCCATTGGGGTATACTTTTGTACAATGGATCGCGATTGCGTGATCGGGGCTGGGGTGAGATCCGAGGGTGCTGCTACACCGCATCTTGTGAAGCTCGAGGGCGCACACATTGCCGGTCTAGAAGAGACAAAGCCAGAGGACGTGTACAATGGAGCCAATGTCAAATCCATCTCTTCAGGAGAAGGAGCCATGAGCGTAAGGCAATTGGATAAGCCACCGATCGACATCAAATGCCGTTGTCTTCCAATCATTTGCACGAACTCGTTGCCCAAGTTTGACGTGAAAATTCGGGAACGCTGAAGAAGCTTCGGGTGTTTCCATTCAAGCGAGAGTTTGTTGAGAATCCGAAGCCAAATACCAACCAACGTTTGATTGATTATCACCTTTACGAGAAGATCCAGAGCCCCGAATGGCGGAAGCAGATGCTTGCTTGGCTCGTGAGAGGGAGCATGGCGTACTACGAACGAGGGAGTCTGCCACGGGTGGAAGAGCTGCCAGAAGACATGCAAAAGGCTCTCAACGGGTACATAGATACCAACGATCATCTTCAAAGCTTCATCAATGATCATTGCATGATTGGAGATCCACAAATGGTTGTGCATGTGGATGTATTGAAGCAAGCATTCGAGACGTACGTAGGCAGGCGCGATCGTCCCATGACCGTCACCGAGTTCAAGACGCTAATGGTTGGCGTGAAGGGCGTTTCGTTTGCAAAGCAGATCAAGATTCGACAACGTAACACGACTGGCTATCGAGGAATTGCCCTCTTGGAATGCTATGAGGCCTAGGAGGCATCTTTGCGTGAACCCAATGGCATATAATTTGTTGCTTGAGGGTCGGAGCAAGGGGGTAGGTAAGGTAGGTAAAAGGTAGGTGCCTCAAAAACGTGTGTTTTAGGGTCATACTATGGTATGATTATTATTAAGGTAGGTAGGTTGGTATATAATATATACTATATAGCATGTGAAATTTGACACGGTAGATGAACAAAAAAGACATCATACAAGAAGACGAAAGGTGTCTACCCACCTACTTGACTACCTCAATAGCAAGTCTACCGATCTTCCAACCCTTTTATTACCAATTGCTGATCGTCTACCACCCTTGTTGAGCCACCTACCAGCACAAAGCTCCGCAAAGTAAGGATCAAAAATCGCCCATATATCGTGTGCTATGTACAAGACACCTACCCTATCTCTGCAATAGCCAAGCACGCGTTCCGCCCGTCCACACGGCCACCGCAATTGCAATGCTAAGCTTTCCGTCATCGACCCGCTTCAAAGAGCTATTGTACCCTCCGAGCAGCAAAGGCAGGATCACCATCAAGCTCTCAAGCCCCGAGTACCACCCCAGAGACCGGAACCCCTTGAGGAAGGAGTTGACCGACTCCACGGCGGACGTGTTCACCCAGTGCAAGGAGCTGTAGCTGTCCGGAGAATTCGTCGGGCCGCACTTGTGCACCTCCGAGCCGGCCTTTGAAAAGTGAAACCTGTTTATAAAAAGGTGCACATCAGTTTTCATGGCCACCATCACTTAGAGTACATACCTGATCATATTATCTCAACAGTGTACATTAACCTGCAAATAGTGTACATTACCCCGCAAATAGTGTACATCACTCTGCAAACAATGTACATCACTCATAATTCCATCTAGATTGAACACGGAATGTACACGAAATGTTGCACAACACACTGCAATGTAACCAGCATTTGTGGCTTTGCACAAGAGAGTCCACCGCAATCACCTCCCAGTGCTCACAAGCCATTCGAGCGTCATTGCAACATCAGACCAGTTGCCTACCTGTCAACCACGAAACGCACGTCTCTGAAGAACGCCGGCTCTCGCCGCATGGAGTAGTTGCGCAGCGCACATGCGTTGTCGTGCACCAGCACGTCGGGCAGGTCCTCTCGTCTCAGCCGCGTGAAGAGCACGACAAAGGCGTCCCTTGGGCTCTCGCCGCGTAGCATGATGTGGAAGCCGTAGATGATGCGATGCGGACAACAGAACACGAATGCTCCTCGAGTCCTCTTCGGCCGCTTGCTCCCACTCCCCTTCTTTCCCGAAAGCTTTCCGGCACCCTTGACGAGTCCGGGAACGTTCTCGGCGTCCCATTCGGTTACCGTCTTTCCCGTTGCGCATTTGAACTCCTCCGAGGTTCGGCTACGGCCGTCCGGATGCTCGAACGAGCTGTGCCACGGCACCCCCCGTCTCTGCTCCCAACCCGGAAGGGTGTAGCACGCCAACTCGTCTTGCTCCGCTCGAAAGCTGTGCTCGGTTTGCAGCGGGGGGCGCTCCTTTCCATTCTCGTCCCTCCCAAGTCGTTCCCTCAAAAGTATCCGCTCTGCCGCGCTCATCCGCCCCCACTGCTCGGGACTCGGCTCCAACCTCTCGACCCCTGGGAGCAGCTCGTTTGCCAGCCCTCGCACCTCCTCCAACTGCTGGCCCTCGTCGATGGTCAAGGGCCGCACTTTGCCCTCAAAGAGCAAAAAGACGGCTTGGTCGAACGGGTCGACCGCCTCGTGCACCCAGCCCCGCCGTCCCTCGGCCTCAAAACCCGTTGCACCCCGAGCAAAGAGAGCGAGGAGGTAGAGGTGGTAGAGCGTGCGCGTGAAGAAGGCCGGAAACGTGAGGCCCCCGTACGCGTCAAGGATGCGTCGCAAGATGGGCGCGTCCCTTGCCAAGTCCCGCCGGTCCTCGAGGGATGCGTCGCCGCCGAGCAGCAACCTCCGGACCACGTGCAACGCCCCGCTGCCAATGAGGTCTTCGTCGGCGTCATGCGCGCCCAGAGAGTAGAGGAGCTCCGTCCACTCGCCGACCCAGTGCTCCCAAAGGTCTGGGCTCAACCCTCGCCTCTCAAAATCGGCTTGGACCCCGGTCAGCAACTCGAACACGGCCCGATTGCGATCGAGAACCATCGTTTGTTGTTCGTCTAGCATGCGCCGTCTGCCGTCTTCCGAAAGCGGCCCCTCCGCCTCCTCAGGACCCCCGAAGCGCTTTACGATCGTCGCGTCATCGTGGGCCAAACCGGCGAGGAGCGCTCCAAACTCCGCCCTTGACAGCGGTTCCCCGACCTTCTCGTCCTTGGGACGGTGCCGCGACAGGCGCGCAATCGCCACTCGCAACTCGGGCTGCAACAGAAGCTTGCGCTTCATTCCGCCCCCCTCGAGGCCGGCTCCACAATAGTCGCGCCCCGAGATCGACCGCTTCTCGAGGAGCGCGCCGGACGCGTGCCGGCTCGGATGGGTGAACGTGCGGCGTGCGTCGAGCGAAGAGCTCCCCAGCCCCCCAGGCTTCTTCGCGCCGTCCGTGCTTGCCAACCCCACGATCCCATCGCAGAGGAGGATCTGCAGCCATCCAAGAAGGCTTTGTACATCATCAATAGATGTACACTAACGTCCAACCAATTGGTCACTACAGATGCCCTCGATCGTGTACATTAACATATATGTTGATATACACAATCACACGTCCAGATTCGTGTACATCATCACATATGATGAAGTGGGGGTATGGACGGCCACGCAATGTCTTTCACCTCTTGTGCTCCCAATGAAGAGCCATGGTTTGTGGAAGGAATGGGACAGCAAAGACGGCACGGACGCCAGAATCTCATGTCCAAGTTGCGCCAAAGTCCAGTGGGCCTCAAAACTCACCTTGGGATGAGGTCCGCACAACGAGCAGCAGTCTCGAAGGCCGAGGCCGACCAGCTTGAAGAAGTCGAGACTCGCACGGCGCCACGTCTCCTCGCTCAAGACGGCAGCATCAGGCGACCATTGAAAGGCCGTCTGATGGGTCGCGAGCTCCGCCTTGAAGCTGTGCCCATGCTGCATCCCCCGCAAGAGCAGCTGAAGACTTTGTTGCACGAAGAGGGTCCGCCGGTTCCACGCGTACAGCCCAAGGTGCTCGCCGTCAAAGTGGATTGCGTGCGCCTCATCGAGGCATTGGCAGTGGTAGATCCGCACCCGCACTCGCTGGCTCCATTGGGAGGCCGTCACGTCGGCCTCGGTCCACGCCTCTACCCAAGAACCGCCACACGCCGGCGACTCGAGGGGGCAGGGCGCGCTTAGGAGGCCCTTCTCCGACAGCTCGCGAAAGTGGCAATCCCTCAACTTGCTCACGGGAACGGGGCTGTCTAGCGAGGCCACCATGGGGTCGTGAACGGCGTGCGAGTCACTTGGCCGAGCGAGTTTGGGCCTTGTGACTTGGGCCGCTTCCGTGGTGAGCAGCTGGACGGGGGCTCGAACCCTCGAGGCCTTGCCGTGTGCACAACCCTCCCGCGCCAAGGACGCCACAGTGCAACTCGTGCACGCATCGACCCAACCTCTGATTGCCTCTTTCCCCCTCGCATCCGCTGGCGGTCGAGCGCCCCACCCTTCTTTCGGCGCCGGCTGAGAGCCTCGCTTGTGTGCCTCCCAGAAAGCCTTGTTGCGCCTCGCCCGTTTGCGAGGAGGCACGTGATCCTCCTCAGCCGCCTCCGCTCCCCTGGGCCTCGACTGCTCCTGGCATTCTTCACGTGTGCGGCGGCCTCGCCTTGCTCGCTTCCCTCCCCAAAGAGTCGATCATGCTGTCGACAAAAGCATGAGTCCCCCGCGCACGCCGCTCGCTCGTGGGGCCGCCGCTCCAGTAGCTCGATGAGGTACCGCTCCTCCTTCGACAGCCCGTCATCATCTCTTTCTTGCGAGGGGGGTCCCACGGCGGGGGTTTTTCCAATCTTTGGCAACTCTCCGTTCCACGCCTCGAGCCAGTCCAGCGCAGCCTCCGACAGCGGCTCCAAGAGCCTCAGAACCATCTGGTCGGCAACTGGAAGGTCTCCCTCATTCCTCAGAGCTCCCTTTGCCGCCATGACGTGCGAGCAGTCGACGAGGCTTGGACACCCGTCGCGCTTCCCCTCGCAATACCAACCCCCCTTGCTGCTGCGAAAGACCATGCGCCTCTGAGGGCTTGGCGGTCTTTGGAGGTTGTCGGCCACCGCAAAGTAGCTCCCCGTCTCGTCGGAGCCAACCCGCTCCACCCTCGCCCCCCTGCCGAGCGACTCGTGGGTAGGAAGCTCCGCCGTCGAGGCCCAACTCTTGCTGAAGGCCGCCATCGCCAGCTTGTGGACGCAAGGCGCGTCGCCCATGAGCCGCCCCCGATCGCACGTACAGCAGAGCTCGCCGAGCGTGCTCCACCAGACCGTCTCTGGGAGCGCATGGATCTTGGATGGCTTCCCAAGCCCTTTTGGCCGGCCCTCCCCATTGTGATCCCATGCCGTCATGTAGAGCCTAAGCGGGGGGGATGCCGATCCCGTCGGCAAGAGGACGCGAACCGATTGCTCTGGAGCCGTCATCAGCACGAGGCAGCGCAACGCCTGCTCCTTGATGCCCCTCGCCAGAGGACTTGCTGCCCCCTGCAGCACAAGGTGGAAGCACCTCGTTCAGAAGGACCTCCTTGCCAATGTGAGGCAGCCGCAGGACGATGGACCCCTTTGAATCAGTGTCTCTCGTTTCGAACAATCGAGACACCTTGTGGCCACACAACTCAGAGTCGTTGTGGAGCAACTTTAGCAGAACCTTGAACTCTCTCCCATGTCGCTGTCGGCGACTCGCCCTTGCTATATAGCACCGATGGCAGCGCGCGCGAGCTGAGCAGAATGAGATTGATGCACACATTTTTGTTGTGACTCTTATCAAGAAAAAGTGTTTGGGAGCTCACCTCAGTGCTCGTCTCCTCCACAGCTCCGAAAGTACTTACTTCCCGACACAGCATCCAGTAAATCGTCAATCCTGGGGATCGTACAACGATTCTTTACTGTAATGCTATTTAACGCTCTGTAATCGACACACAGTCGAAGTCCTCTGCCATTTGGCTTTGGAACAAAGAGCACAGGTGCACCGTACGGAGACGTAGAAGGCTCCAGAATTCCATCACTCAGGAATTTAGTGACCTGTTTTTCCAACTCGCGATATTCCAAAGGAGATAACCGATACATCGACCTAAAAGAAGGTGGATGACCTGGCTCCGTAGGAATCGAATGCCCCTCAGATCTGACAGGTGGCAAACCAACCGGAAAAGGATCCTTGAACACGTCAGAATACTCAGTCAACATTCCAGCAACCCAAGAAATATCACTTCCTGGTGCTTGTTGAACAGACGGTTGCGCGAATTC